TTTCAAGATTATACATATCTTTATAAACATTAAAGTTTGATTATTTTTCAAGATTATACATATCTTTATAAACATTAAAGTTTGATTATTTTTCAAGATTATACATATCTTTATAAACGTTACACAGTTTGATTATTTTTCAAGATTATACATATCTTTATAAACATTACAGTTTGATTATTTTTTGAGATTATACATCTTTATAAACATTACAGTTTGATTATTTTTCGAGATTATATATCTTTATAAACATTACACAGTTTGATTATTTTTCGAGATTATATATCTTTATAAACATTACCAGTTTGATTATTTTTCAAGATTATACATATCTTTATAAACATTACAGTTTGATTATTTTTCAAGATTATATATATCTTTATAAACATTACAGTTTGATTATTTTTCAAGATTATACATATCTTTATAAACATTACAGTTTGATTATTTTTCAAGATTATACATATCTTTATAAACATTACAGTTTGATTATTTTTCAAGATTATATATATCTTTATAAACATTACAGTTTAATTATTTTTCAAGATTATATATCTTTATAAACATTACACAGTTTGATTATTTTTTGAGATTATATATCTTTATAAACGTTACACAGTTTAATTATTTTTTGAGATTATATATCTTTATAAACGTTACACAGTTTGATTATTTTTCAAGATTATATATCTTTATAAATGTTACACAGTTTAATTCTTTTTTGAGATTATATATCTTTATAAACGTTACACAGTTTGATTCTTTCATTGTGTGTAGCTTATAATTATTGCAATAATCACAGACTGTTAACACAACAGCCTTCTTCCACTTTCCTTTAATTTAGGGTTAAAAATGCATGATACCACCAGAAATAGCTTCTCCCATTATAACTTGTAGATGTCACTTGTTTAATACAGAGTTCATTTTACAAAAGCATACCAGTTAGAAATTGAGTAATTTTGTTTCGTTAGGTCATTTTGTGGGGAGAAACGATTGAAGAAAAGCAACAACAGAGTTGTTTGGGAAGATTTGGAGCTCAGTCGGCTGTACTGGAATTAGAAGATGCCGTAACAGCTGTTGATTTCTGCCCTGTTTCTATCCAGGATTCCAGGTATTTAAAGTTAATGATACGACTGTGAAGATTTCAAGTTGTAGCTAGACATAAACAATGCACTTTACACCAAATGCGCAAAACCATTTCACAAAAGTTATTTTCTAGACCATTCATTAACTTCTAGTAGATATTTATATACTTATATGTGGAACTTCAATAAATATTAGAAAAGCCTTGCGCTAGTAATGAGGCTCTCTTTTCTTCTGCTTTTGTATTATCAATGAGTATGCCATGTATCCAATTATGAAAGGTGAATCCCATGTTTATGTACTAAAGGATTCCTTTCTTTTATCAATGAAGCATTTGTTACACATTTAAGTGTATTAATGAGAAATAATATGTTGCCATATAGATTTGTGTGCAACGAACTAAATCGCCAATGAAATAACTATATATGTTTTACTTTATGGTCAGTGCTGTTAGTTACACATTTTGTGATTGTTTTATTTTCCTTGTTTGACGAACATATTAGAAACTTGATTATAGTAAACTTCAAAACGAAATTAAGTACATCTGTATTTGTGTTGTTTTTTTTATGATCTAATATGTACTTTTACTGCCCGAAACATTTACAGATATTATACTTTTATAGTCAAATATTACTGGATTAATATGATGTAAGCTCTGCACGTAGTTAATTAATTTATTTATTTTAAAGTTCACATTTACATGAATTATCATACAAATCTATATATTATAACCTTTAGAAGTGGGCTTGATATTTTGCATGAACAATACCAAGAGGAAACATTGGTTATGTTTTAGAACAACCTATCAGTCAGTAAGGTTGTTCGAAGGAGAAAATCTATAAATTAAAAATTAAATTTCCTGAAAGTTGATAAATAAAATTTAGGCTCAGATCTCACTCATATTATTTATAGCTTTGAGTGTGGATACAAATGGTAGGAAAACAATAATGTTTGTGTGTTTAAATACTTTTTTTTTTTACATTAGGTATCTGTTGGCCGTGGGTCTGGAGAGTGGCTTAATTTATTTGTATAAGTGGTGTGGACATCAAGGCGATGACCAATGGCTGTGCGTCACAAAACTTGATAAATGGTATCCTTTACTTGTGTGTTTTAGTAAAGTAATTCATAACAGTAATTGTTAGTTTAATACCATCAAAGAAAAACAGTCCAGGCAGAGATAACTCAAGCATTATGGTATAGGTATTGTCAGTGTAAAGTCACTCCTAAGCTGTCTGAAAATGACTTAAGGAAACCACATTTGAATAGTCCATACTACGCACTTTTCTCATAAACATTCAACTTAGAACCTGAATCTTTCACCAGTTACCCATGCTTTGTACTAGTTTAATTAAGCAGTATTTTCTTAATAACACATTAACTACTGATACAAATATAGTGAAAAATATGTTAGTTATGTGAGAAATAAAACGCAGTTTGCATCATAGACTGCTTGAAACACAATGCAAAACACTGGGAAACATAGTTAACATGAGTGAGATAGGCACTCCTGGACCCCTTAAAATATAATGAGTTTTAAGTTCTTTAGAAACTTTTAAAATCATGTAATATGAGCAAAGTTGAATCACCCTGCAAGCTTGCTGGAATGGTAAATATCTCCTACGATAGCCTAGATGCAAATAAGCATGTACTTTCAAGAAATAAATGTTGATTATGATAATAAACGTTTATATGAATCACAAGAGGCATTTAAACAAAAAAGGGAAAAGTTCTAAACAGCTGGTTTCTATAATTCTCCAGTAGAAATTTGTAAAAAGTCATGAAAACATTTACTGGCTGAAATGTGTATAGTAGCCCTCTGGTAGTATTTACTAACAACTGATCGTTAAAAAATTATTTAAAATGTATTGTGTTAAAATAATAGATGTAGAGGCCTTCATATCATTATGATGAACCTGTAGGGTGACCAGACGTTCCGGTTTTGCCAGTATAGTACCGTTTTTTTTTAGTACTTTGTCCCAGTGTCCTGAGAACTTAGGACAAACGTCTTAGTTTTATTATAAAGACATCAAATGTCAGTCACATTGAATCATAAGTGTAATAGGCCTAACTGACTTCTTCATTGTTATTGTTGTAACATGTACTTTCCTGCCAACAAACTCTCAAAAATTCCGTCTGTGTGTGTGGTGAGAAACCCAAGTCGCTCAGGGTTTTAGTTAGTAGTACTGTAGTAGACATATAGTAGTTGCTGAATGTATGGTGGACAATTAAACATCGGGATTTGTTCTATAAGATATTTTTATTATTGAAAATGTTTAACTTATCTTAGTGTCAAAATGCCAAAAAAGAAAGTTTTTTGTTGTTTTTTTCCAGATATTTTGAAAGCAGATTTTTTTTTTAAGGCAAGTGAGTTGGATAACAAATTTGAGTACACTATTTGTAAAGCTGTGTTTTAGATAGCACACAGTGGCAGATTGGACTTTATAGATCACATTGCCGAGAAAAAGCACAATGGCCATTTTGAAATTAGGGGCAAGGGCCGAGCTGTCCTGCTTTTTTGGTTTAGAAATCTGGTCACCCTATGAACCTGTTAACTTCAAAATCACATGAGATTTAACCTAATTTTGGTTTGCTATTTATACCAGCATTTCTTTACTTTTTCAATACCAGGGACCAGCTCACTGCCTCCCTAAACTGTTGTGGCCACTAAAATGCAAGTACAATGAAAAACTATTACAATTTACATATGAATATTCTGTCAGTTTTTGTGAAATTCCCTGGATCAGAGCCGGTCCACAGACTGATGGTTGGGAAACATTGATTTATATAACTCAAATTTCAAGGCGAGCACTAGAACTGAAATAGTATCCATATATAGGTTAGAGTTCTTTCAAAGATTCAAAAGTTTTCCACAAATAATGAAGCTTACTTCTTTTAGTCTAGCGTCAAGTTATTTCTGTTAGGTTTTGTAACTTTTTTTTTACGTATTTTTCATTTATATTTAGTCTCTTTGTTATAACAATGCTTAAGAATGAATTAATGTCAGGTTTATAGGACAGAAACAAAGTTCACCATGTTGAGATATCCTTGACAACACGCTGCAGTGTGGCTCACCACTCAACGGTGAAACGTTTGAAGTTCTCACCTAAACTAGGAAAAGCCGGCTGCCGAGGGAAAGCTGGTACCGCCAAGGATGTGGTGCAACTGGCCAGTTGTGGTACAGACGGTATTGTTAAAGTGTACAACATTAAGCTTTCTGCTTTGTGAGGATTGTTTACTGTATCAGATTGTTAGTTGTACAAATGTTGATGAGATATATAACATCAACTCAACAACAGAGTTTTTGTCCAGGTTAAACAGTCTGGAGATCTGTTACAGGACTTCCTCAGTTAACTAATCACGTTATCAAAGTGTATCGTATACACTAACAAAATGGATAACTACAGTTTTCATTGCAAGGTGAGGATGTATTCAGTAATTATGAAAAAAATAAATTGTTGGCCAAAAACATTTAATTTTTAAAAATAATCCGTCTTATTTTGTTGAATAGTTTAATAGTGATGTGAGCTGTATTTTTGTTCATAAAATAGTTTGAGTTTTTTTTTACTATGAAACTCTCCTGGATAAAGTAGCTTTAAGGCAGACCTTTAAAGTTCAACAAGATACCTTTTTGTATATTTTCTCTATTTTATTGTTCATATACCCAACTAGAGCACTGTATAGGTAATTCAATAGAATATAACAGAAAAACATGCAATTTATAAACAGTGTTTTTGGAAAAGTCAAATGATCTATGTTTTATGTTCGTTTAAGTTATCAAACTTTAGCTGTTTTTACTCGTACATCAGTGAAATAACAGAAAACTCAAACTACATAAATTATAATACTTAATTCATATTTTAACATGAAAATTAAACATATCAAAACATAAATATAGTGGTAACTGTAAAGTTCATTGCATATTCTCCCCTCCCCTTCTTTTGTAATGCTTTGCGAAGCTGTATTGAATCTGGAGGAATTATGCCCCCTCCCCCTTTTTTTAAACCTCATAATCAACAAGTGCATACAAAAACCATTTTCCTAAGCAATGCCAGTTATTAATACACCTTATAATAATCTTGGTCAGTTGTAGTGTCATTTTATTTTCCTGATAATTATCTAATTCGTTACATTTTATGATAATTTAGATCAGTTGTTTTATTATCAGTTGTTTTTATTGTCGTATCATCAAGTTGCCATGCCTTCTTTAGGAAATCTTTTTCTGTAATCTGGAGTGAGTATGTTGTGAAGTTTTTATTGCCCTTTATAAACAGGGTATAAGCTAAAGTGGTTTTACTTGGGTAGCATTGGTAGGGAAAGTTGAATATCCTACAAATGTGTGGGTCTGGAAAGTCATGGGGGGGGGGGATGTGGTCACCCTTTCTTATTTTAACCACAAAATAACTGAAACTTTAAGGAGAAAAATATTAAGTCGTCTTTTTCAGAATTATATAACACCAGTAATTGTATTATTTTTGCTTTGGAAAACTTGTGTATTGTATATACAAACAACTGTTTGAATAATCTGCTTTTTTAATAGTTCACTTTAACTGTTTTTGATTGGATACTTAAATTTGTTGTGGTCAGTACCACTTGTAAGTGCCTCTAGGTTATTAAATAATCTCAGTCAATTGAATTTGGCAGGTAGATCAGCAGTTACTATGGTTCTTTCCAGCCCTTTTTAGTGTATCGGCACCGCTGCATTTTCCTGTGCAGTGATACTCTAAAATATGTGTCCAAAATTTATTTTGACAACTAACTCGACCCCCCCCCCCCCACCCACACACACATAATGATATATTTACATGTATAAGCACTGTTGAGAACGTGCAGGTGTTGTTTTCCCATATACTCAAAGTAGTCTACACCATTTACATGTATCTGTCCCAGTAATACAAGATAAGTGCACTCAATGTTGTCCACTTGTCCACACACTAGTTCATTGCATTTCTGTCACTGTATTTTCAGGCCTGAACCAGTGCACTAACTTTGCTTGTATGTCCAGCATGAAGTATTACTTAACTAGCCAAGACCTGCAAAACGTTCGCGATAAAAGTTCTGGACAGATAAACGCAAGTGCATATTTATATAGATTGTAGGGCTTTATTTTTGGGGGGAAGAACCTTGATTGTGACAAAAATATATATACACACACTGGTACAGTGGATGTAATATAGAATTAAAATAAACATTTATTGACTGAGTGCATACAAAAATATATCTTTAAAAAAACAATCTAAAAGCCAGCTGGTGGCAGTTTAAGAAAGGTACAGGTTTGATTGAGGCTTGACATGAAGACTATACATTACTATCAGCACAGAAAACAAATGGAGTCTTCATCTTTATAATATCAAAACATCTCAGAAATAAAACCATGTAAACTAGTATTTAATGTACATAGCTTTACTAGAATGTCTGAATAATTAAGTTCAGTTAAAAATACATGCTTTAAAATACTATAAAAAGAATGTACGAGTCTAAAAGATAACTTGTGAGAGAATACGAGTTTCTTTTATATTTTAGACAAATGACCTTTATAATATAGTTACATATATATCTGAGCAACTAAACACGTTTTTTTTTCTTTTTCAAATAAGATTTATAAAAAATAAGTTGCACCAAATAAAACTGTTAGATCAATTAATATAAACTAGAGTGAATATGTGATTAGCAACCTTTATCGCCAGTATCAATCTTTGATGTAGGAATACATTTTAAAATATGCGTGTATATAAAGTTGTAGAAGCTTACATCACTGAACATAATAATTACCAGTTAGTTAAACAAATTAGCCAATAAAACCTGTACAGTACATGTAAATTTTATTTAAGCTATAATCTCTGAAAATAGTGACATTTTTATTTCAAAAAATTATTTTCCTTTTATGAATTAAGTATTTACTGTTTAATAACAAAGAAAATAACGATAATCTTATTTACATAAGATGAATAAATACAAATTCTGTAGAACCTAAAACTAACCTGTAATACTGACCTTTAACAAGGTATCTTAACTTTATTATAATTCATACATATTATTTACTAAAAAGCAGAATACCACAACTATTCTGAAATATATGTAGTATTTTTGCTAACTTATTTCCTTCTTAAGTCATAAAATAAAAATTATATATATATATATAGTTACTTAAGTATCAAGATGTAATTAAAGACAGCTTACCCATGAACCATCTTGAAATACAGAAACCATTATTGTTCTAGCTATATATAAGAAAAAACTTCCTCAAAACACAACAGTTATATACACATATTATTTGAATAGAAGATTATCCACAAGTAAATCCTTAAAAATATTAACGTAATATGTAATGTAATTAATGCAGCATTTGGATTAAAATAAATGTACAGTTTGGTCACTTAAGCCTTGATTTCATATTGTCCTTTGTTTAGGGTTGAAAATTAACGCACTATATGCTGAGATATAAATATATTATTATTAGAAAATATAATTTGAAATATTGACGAAATTTAAAGCTCATTTTTAGAATATTCTAGAAATCACTTAAATGCAGTATTCCATATTAGAATTCATTATATATTGTTTAGTTTCTGTTCTGTGTTCAGTACTTGAACGTTCTTTGTTTTACCACTGATAAAACACGATTAAGAAAAATTATAGTTTAAAACTATTTGTCAGGTATTCACGTTATTTGATTTATAAATGCAATAACGTTTATTTAAAAAGACCTAGCATTTTTCTAATTTTAGTGTCTTAAAAAAACATTTAGGCTCAGGTTATTCTGACTGGTCATGTTCAGAAGGAAGTAAATGAGTCTGTTTGAAAGTTATACGGTTAAAGAGACGCCATTGAATAAAAATTTTCAATAAAATCACTCTTTCGTTTTCTCTCTGGTGAAACTCACTTCAGTGTCAAAACTATTAACCTTTGTGATTCTCATAGGCCCATATTCAACTCATTAGCTTAATGGAGTAAAACCCTGATATATCATTACAATAAAACTGGATTTTAATCTAGTTCCTTCTTTTAAAACCCGATACAAATTTATGCAGTTTGAATAAACATTTCAACTACACCTTGTTTGCTGTACACTACAACCAATTTCCCAGGCTTACACCGTGGTATTAGATGCTGTGTCTCGTAGCGTCTAAATAACTTTGTAACCATATCAGTCTAGAGAGCGAAAGGTCTCGTCAGCAGAAGTGTACACAAACGGAGCCTAGTTGACATTTAAAATCCGTGTAAAAAAAAAAGGGGGGGGGGGGAGGAGACAACAACAACTATGATTTAAAAGTATTCTTATTTTGATATAATTTCACACTTATAACTCGCTCAGGTATCACGCTTCTCCAACATAGGCGTTATATCCCGATATACTTAAGATGAAGTTAATTAACTATGACAGTGGTATAACGCTTAAATCTGTTGGTATAGATTAAGTAAGGCATCAGAATTCCAAGAGCTATGATCGTTATTCCAAACACATTAATGACGATAGCCTGTTCAGGTAGGTCCTTGTAGGAGTCACTACGATGAAAATAAAATAATATCTATATATATATATATATATATATGAAAGAAACAATATGTAAACCAACTTATTATATTAAATTATCCCACTTAATGTTTAAACAGAATAAAATTGCATTCTATAATAAAATAACAATAATGCTATTTTCAAAGAGTTTTACTTCTGATTTGTTAGTATTCTGAATTTATGTAATGTGTAATTTATGCAAAGTTACGTAACAAACCAATATGATAACCAAGTAAAAAATAATGTTTTAAACGAATAATTTCTGTCTCACAGCTATATCCATGGTACAGATTGTCGTAATCCAACGGAACTTGTGTAGCTTTTGAGATATGCACATACCTTTAAATATTTACATTCAACTACGACTTGCACTTTTTGTGAGAATAAATATTAATATAGAAACGTTACCTTTGTGAAGATAAGCTTCATAGTAGTCCTGTATTTATTTTAGCTTGGCTGTAAGTACATAGCTTGCTCTGATTGGAGGTTAATTTACCGATGTTTTATATCTAAATGAATTTATTGAGGTTTTTCTTAAATATTATTGGCCTGGCATGGCCAGGTGGTTAAGGCGCTTGACTCGAAATCTGAGGGTCGCGGATTCTGATCTCCGTCCCACCAAGCATGTTCGCCCTTTCAGCCGTGGGGGCGTTATAAAGTTACAGTCAATCCCACTATTCGTTGGTAAAAGAGTAGCCCAATAGTTGAGTGGGTGGTGATGACTAGCTGGCTAGCCTTTCACTGCTAAAGTAGGGACGGCTTGCGCAGATAGTCTTCATGTAGCTTTGCGCTAAAAACTAAACTTAAATATTAATGATAACGGTTGGCTACTTTTTTTTTTTTGCACAGTCATATAATAAATAATACATACAGTAATTCCTTATTTTTGTGGCCTCAGAACTACATTAAAAAGCAAACCAATTTTCCACACTGTTACGACAAACCGCCACCAGAG